CTTTACATGAAGTCCATTCTTATTGGTGAGAATCGACTCTTAGATATTCTTATTAAGGAATTCCAGTAGATAACAACTGGGAACATCTCATTTGGAAATGTTTGACGTTTCCTCCTGTCTATTGAAGTTTTACAGAACACACAGATTTTTTTTTTCCAATTTCCAGGCTTGTTTAAATGCCATCTTAATATAAACTTTGATCTTCAAAACCAGCAACTCCTCTCACAGGCATATGCAGAGAGTATACCATCAGTCTCCATTATGAATTTTATTACTACTTACATCCTAAATTAGGTACAAGCTATTATTATGTACTATTCAAGAACAGTTCACTTTATAGCATAAAAATGTCTTAGGAAAATCACAAAACAGTCTAGTATAGGCATTCTTGTTTTATTGAAATTTAAAGAATTTATGTATTGTTTCAACAGTGATGTGCATGGATTGACCTTGACTCTTTTGAGAGAAAATTACAGTTATTTACTGTGTTGGTTTAGATCTTTCTATAATGGCAAGCACAGATTTCATGAGAGTTAAAATGCAGGTTCTTGCTAACAGCATTTGTGATAAACTATTTGATATTTCAAAAATTCTAACCTAGTAACATATATGTGTGTGTGTGTGTGTGTGTGTGTGCATATATGTGTGAGAGAGAAAGGGGGGACTAAGAGAGTTGTATGTGGCAAGGGTAATTGATTGATGACTTATCTTGAGAAGCTAGCAAGGTGCTCGGCACTATGCATCTTATAGGTTCTCAATTAATAGTTACTGAAAACTAAAGGTAAAGTTTTAAACAAAAACATTTTAATTCCTCAAAGATTCAACTCAATTTTGAAGGAGAATTATCATCCAAAGAACACCACTATGAAATCACACCATTATTATCACTCTTTTATAGGTAACAAAATGGAGGCAAAGGGAAATGAGATAATTCTTCCTAGTCATAGAAGCAGTACATTTCAGGTGCAGGACTCAAATATCTAAGACTCCGCTCTTGGTTATTCTTCTATCTCTGGTAAAGGAGGGAAGTTGCTGGATATTTGGAAACTATATTTATTTATTTGCAGAGGGCACCTTATGAGTTTATATGGTGATTCAAATTATTAATATTTTTAGTTCAAAAAAGTTTACATTTTCTAAGCATATACTATCTTTAGGAAAAAAGCCTATGAATATTTTTAGTAATTTAGGGATTCAGTATAGCTATTCAAAATTCACAAATTGGTCTGTAAGGAAGAAAACGGAATTCATCATACTTAGTAAAAAGGTAGTAGAAACCTTATAATCCTTTTAATGAGAAAAGTGAATCAATATACACATTTAAGACCAGTGCAGAAAGAAATTGGAAAACTAAAGAGTCCCCTTCAATATATGACAGACCCACTCTATGTACAATTGTGCCTTAATGCACACACATACGGCCACTCTCCTCATCTTTCTGACGTTGATAGAGGAAGAAAAGTTAGTTATCAAGAACCTTTCTACTTTTAATATTGGTCAAGGCATCTTTCTCTGGACCCTTGAATTTTGTCCACACTGATACAGTCAAGTAGAGAATTAAAGAAACTAGGTAGAAAATTCAGGTAAGAATTTGGAGGAGGAAGATGTGTTTCAAGAAAAGGAAAGTCTTGGGTTGATTTTTTTTTTTTTACTTTAAATTTTCAGAATATTTATTCCTTTTGATCAAATTAACTGAATTCAGCTGGTCAGTTGTTTACCTAGACTCAAACAAGAGAAATAAAACATCAGTAGTTAAAATTTGGGGGTTTTATTTAACTGTACTATATAAGTAAATTTTTCTCTCACATTGTAATGTAGTTTTTTTTTTTTAAGATTTTATTTATATGAGACAGAGAGACAGGACAAGTAGGGGGTGGGGCCCAGAGAGAGAGGGAGAAGCAGACTCCCTGCTAATCAGGGAGCCCTACTACGGGGCTCCATCCCAGGACCGCAGGATTATGACCTGAGTCAAAGGCAGACGCTTAACCAAATGAGCCACCCAGGCTCCCCTGTACTGTAGATTTAATGCTTACGAATATGTTCAACTTACAGGAAAAAACAGTTCTCTAAACAGTGGTTTGTTTGGGGTTTTTTTGTTTTTGTTTTTTTTAGTGCCTCTTTACCTGTCCGTTTATCCCTTTAGTCCGTGTGTTCACGGACCACAAATCTCTTCCACCATTTGGAAAGTACAGAACCAGGCTTATTTTCAGGAAGATGCTTTCTAGATGCGCATTTAAGTGTTCTCATCTCATGAGATGAGAATGTTTGAAGAACATTCTTCAAAGCCCCAGTTCCGAAGTGTACACTTGTTACTCACAGGCAGGTCCTGATTGTGGACATTACCCCCCAGCACTGGCTGACGGTTGTCGGTGCTCACTGCATTCTCTTTGCCCTTAGGAAAATGTGCCGGGGTGGAATCTGGGATGCAGCAGTCCCTGAGGAAAGGTGTAGGAAAGGTGCCGTGAGGCGTAGGGTTGGGGAGCATCAGGCATGCTTCCACAATAGCTGTGAGCTCTAGAAGTGCCTTATGCTTCACTCCCGGGCTCTGTTCTTCCTCCTGTCACTTGAGACAGTGCCAGATCCTGCAGTGATTACATGCATCCTATCCTCTAAGTAAAATTCCCTCTGGCGTGAGTCATCTGAGTGCTTTCCCTCTGGTCACGTGAAGCCTCTTCTCTCCATTCCCACCCTGCCCCGCTGCCCCTGTCCTGTAGCCCAGCCTGCCAGCGCCCCTAGTGCTGCTTTTGGTACCCATTTTTTTCCCACTCTATCCTTACACTTCCATTGCCCCGAGACATCAACCCTGTTTCCACAGACACCTTTATGAAGCTCTCCTCTCTTCCCTTGGCTTCCCTTGGTTTGACAGTAACCCATTCCTGGCTCTCCATCTCCATGTCTTCCTTCTTCCCAGACATATTTACTACTTCGTTTGCCTTTTCTCATCCCTTAAGTTTACCTGTTCCCCGGGTTTCTATTATTAGACATTCCCTCCTTTCATTCGTGATCTCACCAAGTAATCTCATCGATGTCTAAGACTTCAAGGACGGCTTAAACATTGTCGGCTTTTAAATGGCTCTCCTAAGCTCTAGACCCAAATCTAACTGCCTATTAGACATAAATTCTTACGATTTTATGAGCAGACCTGTACATCTTCCTACCATTTCTACTATTACAGGGCTTAAATAATTTATAAATTTTATACATATAAAAATTAAATAAGCAACTTTTTAAACACTGGTTTTTAACTTTACGTTTCTTCTGTTACACTGGTTCTTAATGTAGGGTCCAGAAATGTCCTAAGTAGTGTATTTAGACATTGCAGAATTCTCTCTCTTAAAATAGTTTTACCTAGTGCAAGGAATTTCTGCCAGTGACATTTCATCTAATAAAAGGTTTCTCCCAAACTGCATAAACAAATGTCCTTTTAGAGAAGAAACTGGCCAGAGTCATAATACTGGGATATGTTGAGGTTATATGTTGAGATTATCTATGTAGCATGGACAGTATTCTGGAGAATTTCTAGAATCTTGAGAATATATTCAAAAAATAATACATCTAAATGGCAATCACTATGCATATCACATTCATATACATTAGCTTATGTAATTTTTGTAACAGTCGTATCAACAATGGGTCAGATGTTTCCTCAGCTCACTGATTTTTAAAGAAATACACAGCTTAGATAAATTAAATGACTTTTCCAAGTTCACACAACTTACAAGTGGGGTTGCTATTTAAAAATGCCCCATCGGGGTGTGACCCTGTTCCTTCTAAGGCACCTATGCTAAGTAAGTAGCTGAATTTTTCAATGAATATATAGTGAATACCTTTCAAATGAAGAAAATGTGCAGTTTATAGTTTAGATATCTCTGTGTTTCAGTCTTCAAAATCCATTTCCATGAATCTCCCTGTAGTACTAAATTGGCAACTTATACAATTCCCTAAAGATTTTCAATGATCTTTAACTGTTGGCATGAAATTAGAGCGACGGGCCCAATCACAAGGCTCTGGAGTTTGTCATCATCTTTATCGCTGCTCAGATTGCCAAAAAGGCACCAAATAACACCAAAGCGGTTTAGCTACAGTTATAGGACTACAGACTGATCTTATTAAGCAGGTAATGGCCAGGATTTCACTTTTACCGTTATTATTGATAATTCAGATTTTAAGAAATTTAGGAATTTAAATCCACTTAGTTTTACTTAATCACTAATTTTTTTTGTATATTCAATTTAAAACATTAACTTTGGAGAAGGAAGAGGAGAATTAAAGTTCCCAATGGACAAGAATGAGACTTTAAATTTTGAGACTCTAGCCCACAATCATGTATAATGCCCTACCTTATTTTAAACTTATTACTTTCATACCACCTTTGTCAAAATAACAGAAACAAACCTTTATCTATTAAGTGATAAATGTGTTTCTTTTTCTTTTGAACATAATAAATTCATAAGATATCTTGGACAAATGTAAAACTACTTTGAGGTAGAAATATAATTTGGAATGAAAAATCGATTTCACTTCTATGTATTTTATGTCTTTGTATTCAGTTTACATAGAATAGGACTTAACCAAACATTTCTGGGTTGTGTGGCCAATAGCTTTTTACTCCTATATCACAAAGATACTTATATCTGTGCCACTTTTTAATAACCCCTGGAATAAGCTAGGACTCTGGAAAAAATTCTTTTTCCCTGAACATGGTGGTCTGTCGCATCTCTGCTCCATAATCATTAGCTGGTTATCAAAATTCTAATATGCTTTATAACAGTGACATGAGATAAGCAAACGGACTCTTTATTATTTGATAAAGGATACTGATTAGAAGCAAAACAGTTTTTACGATGTAATCATAAAAAACTTTTGCGTCCTGCATATATTATGCAGCACTATCTAATCATAAAGAGTTAATCTCACTCTTTTTGGACTCCAACATTTACCATAAAAATGCTTTCTAGCATCTATATAATTTTTTTCTTCTTTTTGTCCCTTCTTTGTAGTTGTTTGAAATTACAGTGCCTCTCTCTCAAGGCCCCAAACCAGTAACAATCAGTTTTGCCAATCACACTTCCTGCCGATGCATGTCTAAACTGGACGTTTACAGACAAGTTCATTCCATTATTAGACGTTCCCTGCCAGCAACACTACCACAGTGAGTATGAATTAAATCTATTTTTTTCTGCATCCTCTACTAATATAAAATTATTTTCAAGTAAACACAGTTTATTGGAAGATTTTTGTGAAATTTGCTATAATATGCTTTGCATCAAATACAAAAGAAGACAAATTTGATACTGTACCACAATAGTAAAATTAAACTGAAACAGGGAAGCCCTTTTTATAGACAAAGTAGTTCACAATATAAAACCAGTATTTCTATGGGATAACACACTTTCCACCACTCTTCATATCATCAGTGATTTGGCCTAACTGATCTAACATCCATGAAATCAAGTGTGCAAACTCACAAATGATGTTAAACCTAAAACCATTTAAGCCTTGGTAAGATTTTTGGTCCAAAACAAAAAATATTTTAAAAAATTATTTTATATCATTAGCCTTCAGTCGCCTTTCTTCAATCTCGATTATTTTTTCTCTATTCATCTTTTTTATTTCAGCAAGGATTGAATACTGAAATACTGAATTACTTGAAAGAATTTTCTCTTACTATTATTTCAAATTAATATTCAAAGTAACATTTGCTATTCAGATTCCTTTCTCAGCATATTTTTTTTAGGCTGGTAAATGGCAGCAGATGCTGCACTTGGTCATTCCGAAGGACCTGCATAGAGCATCAAGTGTTGACACTGTGAATAGTTTATGATGACTCATTATGCATTGTCATCAAAAATCTAGGAACTTTCTGCCTTCTGCCCCAAAATGAGGCTGCAGCTCTTTGGTCTTTAGGATGTCCAATGCATGTGAATAAAACTTACTGAACTTTGACATTTGTAACAAAATTTTAAATAAATTGATGTGCAAACATATATATTACAAAAAAAAAAAACCTATTTAAAACTTGAAAATAAATGTGATAATGCTCGTAGTTTTCCCCAGGGTTGCTTTACTTAGTGTGGCAGAGAGGAGGCCTTATCTTTCCAGAGACACACAAAAAACTATGGATAGCCTAATTGGAGTGCAGTCTGTCCTTAATATGGGAACACAAAGGCCTTACCGACATCTGTGCCTAAACTGAGTCTGCTGCTTGGGGGCCCAAAACCCCCGAAGTTGTATATGCAGGTTACTCATGAAAGTCAGAGAGATGTATCCCCAGCTCCTGTGGCAACTCATCCATTCTGAGGGCTTTGGCCATGATCCCCATGCTGTTCCCAAAGTTATGTTTCAAATGGACTTAAAATATTACATCCAAATCTCTTATATTGCTGTGTTTATAATTATATTAGAATAGGTACAGACATCAAAGATTTATTCTGTTTACTTCTACATTATTCATAGTACTTTTCTCTCCTATTCTTTTAGACCTTGAAATCACACAGTTGTCATTAATTACTTTTTTTCCTGATGTCACACACCAGCACTATTTATTCGGGGAGTGGGGGCAGGGAGGAGAGATTTGCTCCAACCTGTGCATGTATCTCGTTTCCACCACTGGCACCCTTGTCCACTCCATTCTGCATGTATGTCTGATCTCAGGCCATGTTGTCCAGACCGGTTTCCTTGTGTCGGATCTCTCTCCAGCTCCTGCATAATGTCACACATGAGCTTTACAAGGCACCACTTCATTCATCTGACCAGAAACTGCCAGTGGCTTCCAGCGACTCAAAAGAATTGAGCACAAATTTCTCACCTCCTTGTCCCTTGACCAGCCTTCCTTTCTTGTTTTGCTTCTCATTTCTGAGTCTGGGCTTCATAAAGTCTCATTCCCTGAAGACCAAGCTCATTTCCTGCCCTGTATCTTCCTTCTTTTCTGGCCCTGGCTTAAAATAAATGCCCTTTCTTTTCTGCCTTCCCAAAGCTCCCTCCACTTCTCAGCATTCAGGTAAAGGTCTCTGTCCTGCATTTGTCTTGTCCAAATACCACTGCCATCGCTGCTTCTTGAATGCCCATAGCAATCACTGTATTTGCTTTTTCCTTGCATGAATTTGTAGGGGTCTGTAGATGGGCATGTGCAACTGGGCTGTGAGCATTTGAGGTACAGGTAGGTTCATGACCTCCACAGAATCCAGCTAATCAGACTTGAAAATTATTGAGCTGTTACCATGCTTTCAGCCCTTTACATACACTGTTTTGTCTAACCCTCCCCCAAGGCACCTCTGCAGTTGGTAGCAAGGTTAGCCTTATTTTATAGATGAAGCAAGTAATCATACTCCAGAGTTGGAGACTAAACAATACACTCTACTGACCAACCATTGCTTGTTATATAAAATAACTTACTTATCTGCAGTGTTTTGTAGCAACTGCATGTTTGCCCAGATATTCACTATTACTTATCCCTATAACTACTACACTGTATACTGTCAAAGGCAAGATACTGTCAATGGCAAGAACAGACAAAAAGAGTAAACAGCCTGTGCCTTCCAGTGAGCCCAGTCTGAGCCCGAATTCTGGTTGGCCACTCAGTCACTTTTTAAGGTTGGGTATTTTACGTGTCTGAACTGCAGTTTGCTTATATGTAAACCCACAAAGATGTAAAGCAGAATGAATGGAATACTGAATGCTCTTGTGGTGGTTAGAACAGAGCCTGGCGTCTAGGAGAGGATCCACAAAGGGTGGATTTATTATTACCATTACGATTCATATCTGATTCATCCACCTGTGTTTTTCATTGTTTTTTTTTACCACTATCTACAATAAGAAATGCAATATCTATGTTTATATGATATGTATATATCATATATAGTGTATAGATTTAAAGTAAATAACTATGTAACTACATGTAGTTATATAGAACTGTAAAAGTAAAACAAAGTATTATTTTAAAACACTTTCCTTTATTGTAGTGCTACCCAACCCTTTTTTCATTATCACCCCCCAAGGATCTTTTATAGACCTTTTCTCTAATCACCTCCCTTGTAAAATTTTACTACCATAGACTTATTTATATCTCCTTATGTATCATATGTATATTTGGGCTTTACACATAAAAAAGGTAGTGCAACGTAGGATTAAAAATGACAAAAAAATTTCGTAGTTAAAAGTTAAATTAAAAATGTAAAAGCTTTTAACATTGAACATAATTTTAGAACTAGTTTTTGCTGAGAAACCTTTAAGGTAACTTACTTACTTATTTAGTGGTAATATATCAAATCCCATAGGGAAAGTACCAATTGAGATAAATACCTAACAATACAAACATATTTTTTAAAGAAAACATTCCAAACAATTATTTTTCCAAGAAAAGGAAGATAAGTTTTTAAATAGTTTCTTTTAAATAGTTTCAAATTTTTTAGAGAACTTAACTTTTGCTTCATATGAGAAAACAACTTACAACTTCTGTAGCTGCTAGATTCTTGGTAGGATAGTGTAACCCCTTCTTTCTTCTCAGCATGTGACATACTATGGCTTGAATAACTTCTGTAGAATTAAATAATAAAATGTAAACTATTTCTACTTAATTCCCAAAGCTTACGTCACTCACCAACGCACCAGAGATTGAGTATAAGGAGCAGCCACCAGGCACCTATTGCTCTATGATATTTTATTTATTTTATTTTATTTTATTTTATTATTTTATTTATTATTTATTTATTTATTTATGTTATGGGCAGAAGACATGAACAGACACATTTCCAAAGAAGACATACAAACGGCTAACAGACACATGAAAAAAAATGTCGCTCTCTATGATTTTGAGATGGAGTACTTGGGTCCAGAGAAATTCCTTCATGACAGCCCTCTCTTCACTGTAATTTATTTTTACATTTTTTTTATTTTATTATATTAATCACCGTACAATTACATCATTAATTTTTGATGTAGTATTCCATGATTCATTGTTTGTGTATAACACCCAGTGCTCCATGTAGTACGTGCCCTCTTTAATACCCATCACCAGGCTAACCCATCCCCCTGCCCCCTCCCCTCTAGAACCCTCAGTTTGTTTCTCAGAGTCCATAGTCTCTCATGGTTCATCTCACCCTCCAATATCCGCCCCCCTTCATTTTTTCCTTCCTACTATCTTCTTTTTTTTTTTTTAACATATAATGTATTATTTGTTTCAGAGGTACAGGTCTGTGATTCATCAGTCTTACACAATTCACAGTGCTCACCATAGCATATACCCTCCCAATGTCTATCACCCAGCCACCCCGTGCCTCCCACCCCCCACAACTCCAGTAACCCTCGGTTTGTTTCCTGAGATTAAGAATTCCTCACATCAGTGAGATCATATGATACATGTCTTTCTCTGGTTGACTTATTTCACTCAGCATAATACCCTCCAGTTCCATCCACGTCGTTGCAAATGGCAAGATTTCATTCCTTTTGATGGCTGCATAATATTCCATCGTGTATATATACCACATCTTCTTTATCCATTCATCTGTCGATGGACATCTTGGCTCTTTCCACAGTTTGGCTATTGTGGACATTGCTGCTATAAACATTGGGGTGCGCGTACCCCTTCGGATCACTTCATTTGTATCTTTGGGGTAAATACCCAGTAGTGCAATTGCTGGGTCATAGGGCAGCTCTATTTTCAACTTTTTGAGGTAAAGCTTTTATCTTGCATATACTTTGGATATCTTCAATGCCAGTGCTGCTCACATGACAGCCCATAAAACCCAAAAGAAATTAAACACTGATTCAGAAGTTTTTGTTGGGTTTTTGAGAGCCAAAAACCATTGCAAGATCTGATTCCTCCTCCCTAATACCCAGTTTCTACTCCCTTACAGATGATATTGTCCCCATTATGAGTGCACGCCTTACTACTCGTGATGCCCTCACTTTTTTTCTATTCTATTTCTCTTTTTTTGAATGTTGGTCTCTACTTATTGTGAATTGTGACCCACAATTTAATTAAAAACTGCTATGATGATAATTTATATATAATGAATATATAGCTATGTTATAAAACCATTTCTTAAAAATTAACAGGAACAGTTGCCACAATGGCCAAAATTAAGAAATGGCAAAAGCAAGTGTTGGAGAGAATGAGGTGCCACTCATATATCACTGATGGGAATGAGAAAG